GTTGTGCATGGAGCCGCATGCAGCTACCGTGTTCCCGTGGGGTTCCCGTCCCACTGACCTGGGCACGGAGCCACACGCGGCCACCGCGGTCCCATGGGGGTTCCCATCCCACCAACCTGTGCACGGAGCCGCACGCAGCTACCCCGTTCCCATGTGGGTTCCCATCCCACCGGGCTGTGCACGGAGCTGAATGCGCTCCCAAGGGGATGCCCTGTGGATCTCGGCCGTGCATGGAGCTGAACACACTCCCGCAGGGATACCTGTTTATCCAAGCTATGTATGAGGCTGCCCGTGCTCCCACGGGGATTCCCATCACTCTGGGCTGTGCATGGAGCTGCATGTGACTGTCACATTCCCAGGAGGGCTCCTATCCCGCCAGGCTGTGCATGGAGCTGCATGCACTCCCCTAGGGGTATCCATTGCTCCGGGCTGTGCACGGAGCTGCATGCGCTTCCGTGGGGATGCCTCTTCCTCCAGACCATGTACGGAATTGCACATGGCCCTTGCATTCCCGTGGGGATGCTCCTTGCTCTGGATGGTGCATGAAGCTGTGCGCATTCCCATGGGGATGCTCCTTGTTCCAGCCCATGCATGGAGCCATGCGCGTTCCCGGGGGGATACTCCTTGTTCCAGCCCGTGCACAGAGCCATGCGCATTCCCAGGGGGATGCTCCTTGCTCCAGACGGTGCACGGAGCCGTGCGTGTTCCCGGGGGGTTGCTCCTTGCTCCAGATGGTGCACGGAGCCGTGCGCATTCCCGGGGGGATGCTCCTTGCTCCAGCCCATGCACAGAGCCGTGCACATTCCCGTGGGGATGCTCCTTGCTCCAGACAGTGCACGGAGCCGTGCGCATTCCCATGGGGATGCTCCTTGCTCCAGCCCATGCACGGAGCCGTGCACATTCCCAGGGGGATGCTCCTTGATCCAGCCCATGCACGGAGCCGTGCACGTTCCCGTGGGGATGCTCCTTGCTCCAGATGGTGCACGGAGCCGTGCGCATTCCCATGGGGATGCTCCTTGCTCCAGCCCATGCACGGAGCCGTGCACATTCCCAGGGGGATGCTCCTTGATCCAGCCCATGCACGGAGCCGTGCACGTTCCCGTGGGGATGCTCCTTGCTCCAGCCCACGCACAGAGCCGTGCACATTCCCGTGGGGATGCTCCTTGCTCCAGCCCATGCACAGAGCCGTGCACATTCCCGTGGGGATGCTCCTTGCTC